TTTTTTTTAATTCATGATTTTTTTTTTTTTTTTTTTTTTTTTTTTTTTTTTTTTTTTTTTTTTTTTTTTTTTTTTTTTTTTTTTTTTTTTTTTGTATGAATGATTATTTTGAAAATCTCTATATATTGGCAACAGCGCAAGTTTGGATGTAAAGCCAAAATGTAATATGTGCTTGCACTGCTTTTCTGTACAGTTATGTATTTATGTCCTTCCAAGATTTGTTATGATTTGTATGTAAGTTTGTTATCAGTAGTAGTAGTAGAAGCAATATAAGACTTAGACTGTAGACATGTTATCTCAAAACACAGAAATATTATTGGCGTTTGCACAGGGATGTCCTAAAGTATCATACCATCTACACGTACATACATTAATACATTAATACATTAATACCTTATACATTAATACCTAACAGAGTTGGTTTTTCAGATAGTTGAGATATATTTCAAACATTTTTGTATGGCATATACACATGTATCTATCAGATCAATGGAATTTTTAATTTTGATAGCAGATTTATTTATGCCTTGTTCTCTGTTGTACATGTATTTTGCCTTCAACCATCGAGCCTGTAGGTTGGGATATATGTTAGCGTTTGTTTGTCTGTTTAGAAGTCTTAGAAACAGTTCAGTGATCACAATGCAATGTTGATTAATATATAACAAGAGGTAGATATCTTTAAAGACAAAATCTGAATGGTGGCGGCAAATTGCTTTACTTCAAAAACCACTTATACTTGAACATAAAAGTTGCATGTTGCGCTCAATATTAATTGATAATCGGTATAGCATCAAAGCACTTTGTCTCAAAGATGTGGAGAAGAAAAAATGATACAACATCTTGCAGTTTTGTTTACACTAACTATTATTGAATTAATTACTTTTTCAGCTATTAGTTACGTGGTATGCTCTAAGGACCAATGTATAAACATATTTTCTTTTTGCAGTAATCCCTGTTATATAAAGTTATGGCCCGATATCTTTGTGCTAAAGTGAATAGTTGATTAAATAAAACGTTAATTTTAATACAATGCCTTGTATTGATTGTGTTATAATTGTATGACCATAGGAAGCGCCGGTGTAAAGTGACAGAGAGTCGCCCATAATAGAGTCTGCTCCCCTATCATTTGTACAGGTAAGCCTCGCCCTAGAGATTGACCCACTTAGGTCAGGCTAACCCTAACCATTACAACTAAATGGAAGGCATACTTTGTGTCACGCGGACCCTCAGTTTCGTTACACCGCGGACCACGGCTTTACCTTCTAACTGCTGAACGGAGGAATGACGCTCCCCCCCCCCCCCCCCCNTTGGTTTTAAATTGGCAAAGAAACGTTATCAATTCCATTGAAACAGTTGAAATGTTAGTTGCTGTTCCCTTCATTCGAATAGTCCGTTTGTGACTTGAGTCGTATATATGATTTTGACGACTTGTGTGACGTGAACTCAGAAATCTGGTCGGAAGATAACGCGTTTCCAGGTGTGACAGACATGACAGTCCGCTAGGAACCGTAGTCCGTTCCCCAATACTTTGTACAGGTGACATTCGTCTCATATGCTGACCCCAATACTCCAACTAACACTAATCTGCACTAAGCATATGGGAACCGGGCGTCCGGATCCATTCCTAGAACTACCATTCCTGTCACAGAAAAATTAGTTTCACCAAATGTGATTAGTATACTTCTCTTATTTTATGTACAGTTTGAAGAAACAAAACCTTTTTTGTTTCCGGAATAGCTCTACGTAAATTATCAAAGTCCTCTTAACCTTTTTGGTCATATCTAAAAACTCGCTAATCAGGTAAAGTTTCCGGTGACAGACAGAACATTTCATGTCTTCATTAATTCAAACACGTCATGGCGCAAATGAAGATGTAATTGGACTCCGGTTTCCGAGCAAAAATCTATATCACTAATTTTCCGCACAGGGGAACTGTGAATTTGCACAATCATTTGTTATTTTGAAATGCTAAACGAGTTTAATGCCCTTGGGGGAGAAATGACTTCTTGTGATTTGATAGTTGAAAGGTCTGGAGAGTTACAGGGGTAGCGAGTGTAATGATTGAGCAGTCATTCAAGCTGTAATGATTTTTTCGGTGGTGATTATAACAGAAGTAGGCTACTTTTGTTCTTTCTTTGTGGTCTGCATTAGAATCCAAAACAAAACCGCGTTTGTCTTTATTATGACCTAAAGGTCTGTATGACGAGAATGCAACCAAATGATTGTCATAGGCTTGTTGTCAGAAGACCGGTGTGGCAGGAATGGTTGTCTGCTAGGCACCGTAATCAACAGACACGATTAATGTGTATTTTTTGTTAACTTATGATGTCAGTCCAAAGGAACGAAAAACAACCATAGAATTTTAAGATTAAAATAGATTTACAGTTTACGTGTTGTGTATGTACAGCCCACTACTCATACGAACTACCGACCGATATACGGAAAAATATACCGAACAAAAACTTCAAAATCTGTCTCACTGGATAGATACCTAACATAAAGCATACAATGTTTAATATAATGCATGGAAGCCTAACTTGTGTGTGGAATGTTTAGAAGACACTGAAACACTTGGACATGTTTTAAATTACTACGTGTTCGTATTAGATAAGTGAGTAATATCAGTTCTAACTGCTCTCAGAATTAAAGCGGCGTCACTCACAATTAAAGCGGAGACACTTGAAACCAACGTGGATCTTTTTGCCCACAGAAAAATTACATGTAAGTGCCATTTCCACACAAAATTCTATTGTACTATGCAAGTGTCATGTGATGCCGTATTCTTGTAAACCATGACAAAAACACTTGTGACGTAGACTTAGTGATATGACGTCACGGAACCAGAAAACCAGGAACAGTGTTGAGTAACCATCTATTTATGACGTCATGAAAGCAAGCATGTTCTGTTATCTCCAAAATGTTGACACTCGGAATGTATGTTCAATTACTGCTTCAGGATATTTTCTCACATAATACTGCATGCGTGGGTTGGTATCTAATAAAGCATAAACAACTTCTAGCCGACATCATCAATTAACGTTCTCGTATGCCGCATTGACATTCCCGCCCTTAAAGATAAAAAGAAATTGAAAGTAAGTTTTGTTTTATGGGATTATGCAGTGCTCCAACATATTAAAAATAATTAAACATAGGCATGGCATAAGGGACACGTTACACTTATATTGTATAATTTACATTTATACAACTTGCTTAAAACTTGAAAAAATGTCACAACAAATTGTACTTACATAAATCTTTAAGCATTGTTTTTATAATAACTTTTATCCTTTACATTTAATATAATCATTGTTATTTTAAAACAGAACACAGAGATCAATTTACTCTGACGTTAGTTCTGACGTCAAACAAGATCCCAAAGACCGTGACGTCACGTCCATGTGTACTGTGTCTGAACATATGGACACATATAAAATCAACAAGACCATGTTTCCTTTAGAAATCTTGTATGATAATCAACCCCCCCCCCCTCCACTGCCACGGCGACACAAGAGGATAACACTTACAAATAATTCTTTTGCGTTGCGCGTTGTCAAGTACATCTCCTCGTGGTAAGGATCCACCACGAAGGCCGGATCGTACGTCACTAGGTGGCGATGTGTCACGAGAGAAGGACCCCAATCCCGCTGAGGACGAATGAAAGTTTTGTCCTGCAGAAATATATGTAAAAATATGCACTTAAATTAATTGAAGTTGGATGAAGGGAACAACGGGGGGCTAAGGAAAATTTTCGTGTGAAAAAGCTAAGACAGTATCGCTTTAATTTTTCAACATCGTAGGTTTAGCAGATAATAATAAACATGTACAAGCGATAACGTTTTAATTGGCGATGTGAGTTGTAAATGCTGGCAATGATTTCCGATAATAATCAGTCCGTATTGAAAACAAAAAAAAAAAAAACAAATGCTTACTTTTGGTCTCACAATAAGACAATAGATTCCATATAACACCGGATATATGATGATCGGTCCAACAATTGCAAACCGGACCAGCCACTGTAAAACTTCACCGAAGTAACTAGGGTTTGGTTTGTACAAAATCCACGAAACCACGGTCACCACCTAAAGAAGACAATAGCAAAAATGGTAAAAATATCCTTTACAGTTAAACTTTGGAAAAAAAGTTGGAGAGAGGGTCATTAAATTGATCTGATTTTTTATGAAAGCATTTTTAATCTATAAGAGTGCATGTTATTTTATGATCACTTATATTGTAATTCACTTATTATGAAAAATTTAAATAAATATCAAGAAGACTAAGATTTATCTGTGCGTCGCAATGCCATTTTCTTAACGAGTGATCCATCTTTACGATCACATTGATTTATGAACGAGGCTTACTCCAAGAAGTCCAGGTGCTATGATCATCCAGCAAAGTGTCCACCAGGGGGCAGTTATCTTCAAGAGAGGACTGTCTGCCAGCATAATTTTCATGTCCTCGATGGCGCGCAAAACTGGAAAATGGAGCATGTAAAGAAGCCAATAATTTTTAATTTACCATCTGCGTTTTCATCATGAATTGTGGTACGTGTATGGACACAAATATAATTCTTACACACTCGGGGCAGTGAACGTACTAAAAAGCTTGATTGACCACGTTCTTCTTTATACATTTAAGAAATTAATGCATAAAGGTTTTTTCCAGTAAACATATATTATATACTTATGACACACACACACACACACACATTGTTTCGGTACTTACATATGACTTTGTACCTCGGGTAGGCCCCGTATACCCATGCCACTGCTATCAACTCAGTCAGTCCAAGAATGACCATTGGCCATCCATTGATGGCGCTGTCCACATAGTCCAGCAAATGCAAGCCACCCTGAAGATGAAGTTTCATATGATAGACGGTCTACACGAAAGAGTTTATGATCTTGCTTTCGATATTATTTCCTTAATTTTTAAAGTCAACTTAACGATGTCATTCATTCATTTTATTGTCAGATCACGTTTTTTATTTCGGCTGTCAACTTAAACTTCCGATACCAGATGGCTTCAAAGGAAATTCTTGTTCGAAATTTTGAATATCGACACTTACTGTGAGGGGAAGAAAGACTACATGTTTTAAACGTACATTTGATTCTTAGGTGTGCATCAATGCCACAAGCCATTTTTTTTGTTTTAGAACAGATTTGCTCCACCCCCCCATTGTCTTTAACACAGCTAAGCAACTACAAATATCATCTGGATCATTATGCCTAATATCTGAGCCAACCTTTTTAGTATTTATATATGTTTTACAATGTAGCTGGTGTCTTACAGTAATTACAGTAGCTATTTCTATAAATAACAGTTACAATGCATGTCAAATTTGGCGGTGCATGTGTCCCCTGTAGACACTTCGGTAGTTGTATTAAATCCCTTAGCAAAATTATTTCAAAATATCAGGCATGCAGCAAATTTGCTGCAATATTGCGGCAAACTACAATTCCTTCATGCAAATTTGCAGCAGATGTGTTGTAATATGACTGCAAATTAGCAACAATAATATGTCCTTCCAAACTCCCGCAAACTCGTTGCAATATTTTCGCAATATTGCTGCAAAATTTTAATTTTTTTAAGGGATAACATCTATGCATTGGGGACTTTCAGGAGTGGATACTGTCTGCTTTGAGAGGCAATAGTTGATCTGATAATGAAATAACAATGAAAACCTTTATCAGCGACCTTGACATCATAACGACCTTGGCCTTCACTTACCTTGGCACACATAGGAAGACCAAGTCCAAAGAGAACTAAGCAAACAGCCAGATGAACCCAGACCTTGTGTTTACGTACTTTGGGAAATGCATCTAACAAACCAGTGAAGACTGTTTCTAACAGGGTGAACTGAAATGGCCAGGGGTAGACATAAAATTTGTGAGAGCAAATAGGATTAAACATACACAATTATATAGCTATAGTAGTCGTGTGCTGAACTAAATTCTGAGAATGGGCTGTTAAAAAGTCGACTTTTATTCTCAATATACATGAGTTAAAGATGGCGATGAAATCGACATTTTAATAAATTGACGTCAAAATATTTTCAATCGACCAAATTTATAATGAACAATCAACTAGAGGCTTAATATACTACATGTATATGACCATTCAAAACTACCTGACTGTCCAAGCCAAGTGTAATTAGCATGAAGAACAACAGAATGGACCACAGGGGCGAAACAGGAATGGTAGCCACTGCTGACGGCCAAATGACGAACGCCAAACTCGGTCCTCCTTTTGCAACGTGACCGATGTCTACTCCTTGCAGCTCTGCCATGTAGCCCACGTAAGAAAACACCACGAAACCCGCAAAGACGCTTGTCAGGCAGTTTCCAATCGAAACGGCGATGGCGTCCCTAAAAACAGTCGTAACTGAGAGGAGAATTCAAGTTCTATTCATCCCAGGAAAGGTTTAAGAAGCAATGGGGCTAACCACGAATATAAAGAAATTGTATTTTAATTTTACAGGACGAAAGAAACACAGTGATTCTAAACCAAATTACCAAATTTGTACGTTTCGTTCGTCACGTTTACATGAGAAGTCTTATTCCGGCTGCTATCTTAAGAAAAAATGTAACTAAAATTATCTATGAAGGTAAATGGACACTCTGGAATCAACTAACCTCAGGCAGTTATTGTGGAACTTATTATAGCTAGAGAGTGCGTGAAGTCCACCAAGAGATGCTCCCAGGGAGAAAAATATCTGCGTAATGGCATCTAACCATACCTAAAACGAAAGACGTTACCAACCATACCGGTAGATGTTTAGATAGATACATTAGTGTTATTAATTGAATTACCGTTTAATTTTTACTTAATCTCTTCTCTAATCGTAGACTTATCGGAAATAACATTTCAGTTAGCACAGTTAATTTCAACAATAAATAAATAAACAAATAAAAAAAATAATAATAAATGAATAAACAAACTAGAGGATCAGAGAGTAAACAAAAGTTCTCAATGTTTTTCAGAAAATTACAATTTGTAACAAAATCATGGGGAAAAGTAAAAGGTTAAATCCAATGTTGCAGTAAGATTATGAATATAGGACTTCCCATCTTAGTTCAATAGTAACTATAAGAGCTTGGAAATTTGCAGAGTGTGGTTCATGGTAAAAAGTATGTCAAAAGCCAAATTCAAGGTCACAGGAAGACTTTAATATACGGGTTCCTACTTACTTCAGGATCCTTTAGTTTACTGACGTCTGCCTTGGCGATGTACCATTCCACGCCGCTACGAGAGCCTGGCAGCATAGTGCCGCGAATCAACAGTATTAACAACACCACATATGGGAATATGGCTGTGAAATATACAACCTGCAAGAAAAAAGTAACAACTTATCTTTAAGTATATGATTAGGTTTACCTTTCCTATTCTTTATCTATTTTTTATTTATTAATTTACTTTTATTTTTTGCTTTACTGGTTAGGCTCTTGATTGATCATAAACAAAAAATCACAGGAACTTTACTGAGTAGGTTGGAAAATCATGTAGTTTACAAAAGATGAAAATAGTTTATAATGATAAATAAAATGGATAAGCGTGCTTGTGAATTTCCTTTCACAGAGTAAAATGAAGCAGTTACCTTTCCTGATGATTTCACACTTCTGAACAAACAGAAGAAGTCGATAATCCAGGCAAGAAGGAGACACAGACTGAGCTGCCAGCTAATACCGGTCAGGTCGCTGAATGTATCCAAGCCCGTCCCCACTCGAAGCACCGTGTTACTGAATAAGAAACCAAGAAAAAACAACAACTTAACAAATCCTTCAAGCTTAAAAGCGATTCTTAGTAATGCAGTATTAAAAATGTCATGAATAAAAGAAAAGAAAAGAAAAAAAGAGAAATAAAACGATGTATGCCCACCAACAAATATGTTTATCTCGTAAAATTTACTTTGTAGAAAAGGATACCGAAAAAAGTGCTTTTTTGAATCTTTTACATAACGAAAAAAATACGGTGATTGATTCGAATCAATTGATTAATAAATAAATTGATCAGATGCAAACGGTACGACTCTCACTGATTTCACTTAAATCTTACAAGAAATACTCCTCCGCGGCTGAAGATCGTGTAATATTGTACTGTTTCAGCAATGTGTCGTTATAGACCCCCAGCAGAGTACCGTTGGCGTTGTAACACGTGCCATTGGGGTAAGCTACTTCCTGGAGAGTTGCGTTACAGCCTGAGATGTCTGGAAGCTTGGTGATACACGCTGGAATAGAAAAAAACGCTTACTTTCGCAATTATTGCGTCTTGGGTATTATTGGAGGCATTTATTCCATGACTGTTTTAAGTTATATAAATCAATTATTAAAGTAAAGCATTTGTCATTAAGCATAGTAATAAGTTGACGTACCGGAGAAAATAATGAACAATTTAAATATACGTCTTCTCTATCGTCAAAAGCAGCTTGAATTTGACAAGGATGAACTATTGACAGTTCCCTAAAATTAGCAGACGGCAAATGTCCGCCATACGACCGACTCTCTCTCTCTCTCTCTCTCTCTCTCTCTCTCTCTCAGATAGCTGTTACAGTCTGAAAGGAGATTTTCAAATCTAACAGATGTCATATGTCAGCAATTACTTACTGTCAGACGACCAGTCTCCGCAGTCCTGCCAAGGAAGTTTACTGGTGAAGGAAGCAAATAGGTAATACAGCGCCCAGGCCATCACGATGTTATAGTAGATTGCAATCAGTGACGAAGTCACCATCATACCTATCCCGACTCCTGAAATCACGATCTCTTAATCAGATAAAATCAATTCAGTTGGACTTGATATGAATTAATTTGATATCATATGATCTGTATTCTGATCCAATGAATTAATTTTTGATGAAATAAAAACTTCCAGTTTGATTTTTTTGCAGGCTTTCTTTCTTTCATTGGCCTAGTTTTTAAATGTTGTATCACTGCAATATTAAATAGATCTAAAAACGGCTATTAATTTCAGAGACACTGTAAGATCGCAAAGGCTTTGTGATGTCATAATGTCTGTGACGTCACAAAAGACACGTACCTTTAAACATGGGTGAGAATCTCCACACGGTTAGTGTTCCACTGCTGGAGAACTGTCCGAGGTACAGTTCCAGCAAAAACAATGGCATTCCGATTAATAAGAGACATATTGCGTATGGAATCAGAAACACGGCTACAGAGGGGGAAATGTAAAATGATAAACAAGATTAGGTGAACTTTCATTAAGAAAAAGCATAAAATTTCAGAATTTATAGTGTTTTTTTTTTTTTTTTCATTGTAGCTCCTACTTGTCATATACACTGATATACGTGGTCAATTCATGCAACAGACGAAGCAAAGTCTGAGAGCTATAGGAATTTTGGTGCATTGTTTATGATTCAACAAAGTTCAAAAAGAAAAGTAGGCCTACAAACAAAATAGATTAACTTTCCCTTCCCATTTCAAGTTAAAATGGATCGTGTACATATATGTTTTGGGTAACATGTAGAATATACTAATACGAGGAATGAGATATTTCTCGGGACTATGGTTCTAAGGCCGTCGATAGGTGGCACTACCTACCGCCTCCGTTCTTAAAGCACAAGAAAGGGAAGCGCCACAGGTTGCCAAGGCCGACAGCGTAGCCAAGACAAGACAAAAAGAAGTCACACTGATTAGACCAATTTCCGCGCTTTTCGTTTTCGTCGCCATCTGTGCTCTCTGCAAAGTAAACGAAAGTTTACTTAGATTTAATAACTCAGGGTGTGTCCGAGTATTTTTTTTTTACTCCAACTTTGTAACTACAAAGCAAACAAATCTCCCATAGATAAAGAAAGACTATCAAAACAAAATGTTTTGCCCCACTTAAACTCTAACCAACTTTGTTTGGTATCATTTTGGTCGTTTATGTTATCATGAACTTTAATCCCCTTTAGCCATAACAGGACCACAGTAAAATGCATTTTAAGCTGTTGTTGTTCCTACCTGTATCAAGATCGAAACTGTGAGATGACTGCAAAATATGATTTGTTCATTAATGTACAACTGATATTTCTAATGTTAGTATTAATCTGTACTTAAAGCTCAATCAATAACTTCAAAATTTAAATTCCCATGCAGTGAGACAAATTATTGACGATTTTCAGTTAGTTCTTAAAACACCTGAAAGTTTTTTAGGTTGATAAAATCCATCAAATCCAATGTTGATTAATTATTCTGAAGGTATAATTGGTGATCCATTTAAAATAAGATAAGAAAAATATTTATTTAGCCAATATATAACATGCAGTATTGGCAGAAATTTCCATGTAAACGCGTCGTTGTGTTTAGATACTTTAAAGGAAGTAAGAATTACATATAAGTTTGAATAGGAGCTACATCAAAATAGTTTGCTACCCGTAAAAACTAAAAGCCTAGAATTGCCATGTAGAAAAAGGTTGTGAGCAGGATGGAAATAGCTTCTCATGATAGACACCAAATACAATTTCATAGCGAATTAATAAAAAAAAAAACGTACATTTAGTTCTTTCATGTCTGGGTGTAAACGTTTGCAGTCTCCGTAAACGGCGGGACGCTCACAGGTAAAATCTGTAAAAACAGTAGAACACATAACATAGTAATCTGTTCACACCTGTTAACGGTAATCTGAAAATGACGTGCAAACAAAGGAGAAACAAACGTTTTGGTCAAACCGCATATCAAAGTGATTTATTATCTGTTTATGCATTATTTTTCATATTTCAAAATTATAATGCCCAATTAAAAAAAAGAGAGAGAGAAAGAGAGAAATCAACTACGGGCAGTGGATATATGAAATTGTCAACAACAAAGACATTTCTTTGGAAATTATATTTGAAATGTGGATATTTCAGGCGCACATATTAATGTTAAATGTCATTTGTCAACACTATTTAGTGTTTATTATTAGTCTGCTTCATTTCTCTTAGTATTGGGACTTTCAATAAGTGCGGCCGTCAGCGGCCAAATTTCAAACATCATACTTAAGTTTGTCACATTACTTTATCAGCATGTCGTTATATTCAAATTAACTTAGATCAAGGAGACATAAAGACACAAACGGTGGGATAAGGGGTAAAGATCATCTCACATATCTGATAGTGCCTCATTTATCTTTGCCCTAAACAAGATATTATGCTAAGTAGCCGCAAGCACGCATTTATGCTAGTTGGATTTGCCTTTGAGATTGTGTGTCCCAGATTACTAAAAAAAAAAAAAAAAAAAAAAAAAAAAATCGATACGTTAGAACCGATATGTTTTTATGGAACAGAACAACAACACATTTCACCTGTAAGGGAATACACAGATACTGAGTACTAATGATTAGCTCGCCGATTTTAACAATAACAATGACAGTTATATCACAGCAATATAATACTACGATTTTGCAAAAAAAGAAACAAAAGGGTAAACCTGGCCAAAACTACAAAAAAAAAAAAAAACAAAAACAAAAACAAAAAACATAATCAGATGTAATCTTAATTCTAACATCAAAATGTGTGAGCTATTTCAATGCAGGGCAATTTGTAAAAGCCGACTGAGATCAGTACCTATCATACTAAAAAAATACATTTGGAGTTGTCTAGTTTCTTTACAATGTGTACAACTGTAATCTAAAAAAAAAAAAAAAAAAAAAACCAGGAAACTTAGGACTTTCATTTGAGATGGTTTTCAAACTTTTAAGGAACAGTTTTGACCTTTTTTTCTATTCAAGACAAATCCGTATTTGTAGTCGTATCGGTTTAAAACATTAAATATTTCTTTACTGTTATAAACCAGACGCATTATATCAGCTAGTGGGCTACTGCAGATATATCTTGGCTGAGAGTTAACTTCAATTTTCGGCCTAAATTCCCTTGTAAACCGGCTCAAGTTGATGTCTGCGAACACAGTATGCTTCTGCTGTTTTCTAGAACCCTTCAGAATCATATGAAACAGCCTTGTATCTCTCGTCGTTTTTTACACAACCAACTTCCAGAACAGAGATTAAAACATTTTCAAGTTGAACTACGAATTGCAGGGAGAGATGACCTACACCTACATTGAACTGAACACATCCTATAGAATACATAACGGTATCTTTAGTCATGCACTTCTGTAAAAACGACGTATCTCGACTTGTACTGCCATTATATATTATTTCTCAAACGATCCTCACAAATCAATCGGAAATACTGGCAAAATTAGAAAATAGATGGAGCACAGTTTGGTTTCTAAAATTACTAAAATACAGCATTCTTAAAAACCTAGCACCTCTCCTAGCCTTTAAGGAGTCCTTCTTGTCAAATATAGGCGCAATGCTTACCTTATAAAATACGCCCTGGGAGTGAGCAGCATTAACCTTGTAATAAACATGCGTCCGTCCTAATCAACTTAAATGTTATTTTGTCTTTGTTCGAAATGACACGCCTTTGAGAGGTTAAATTGGTCACGTGGGATGGGTGAGGTTACGACCTTTGTTTGTATACGTGAGGTAAACAGGTCAGAGATGAATGCTTCAAAAGCTCTCATATTTCATTTCTAAAACGAAAGCAAACAGCACAATTAACTGTTTGAATTGTAAACCCCCCACCAGAAATACACTTTAGTGAAGGATTATGTGTTCTATTACACAAATAGTTTTAGACTTGGTGAGAAAAAAAGCGTATCAATAAATAACACCAAGGTAAATTTAGGTCATAATATTTTTACAGCTTTGGTAACACATGCCACTTAACTAAAAGCCCTCCCCCATCTGTCAGTCACTGTCACGTGGTAATTAAGTTGGTGTAATTGACAAAAAACAAAGGATTCCATCACTCGAAAGCATCGCGTATTGCGAATAGCGATATCACATAGAGGTTACTATGTATTATCTGGGGCGAGTTATGGAATCGAGACGCTTGTGCTCGATCGCAATGATTGATGCTTTTGAGTTACGGGCCCTGGTTTGCTTTTCAGGTTATCAGAGTCACGTGACGTGTAAATGTCTGTGTTGGTGGGGTTCGGGAGGAGACAGCTGGATTTTTTTTTTTCAGATAGGACGACCTGCACGTTGCCTTAAAAATAATTTCCTGAACCCTGTCTATCTGTCTAGAGACATATCTGTGAATATCTGTAAAAAATCTATCTGTCGCCCTAGTAGAGGGTTCTGCAGGGCCCTGTAAGTCGAAAGCACCGCGCATTGCGACCGAACGCAAGTCTCTTTCGGCCGTGCTCGCCCCATAAAATACACTGTACATAGCCTGTGTATGATAGCGTTATTCTCTATACGCGATGCTTTCGATTTAAGGAGCCCTGGTAGAGCGGCCTGCGCCAACGTTCTACAAACCCAGTGGTTTTGAAGTTGCAAATGGACGTAATCTGTTCCGATGACACTTGAAATTTTAGTTGCTGTTTCCTTCATTCGAGTAGTCCGTCTGTGATTTGAGTTCTGTATGTCATTTTGACGACTTGTGTGACGTAAACTTAGAAATCTGGTCGGAAGATAACGCGTTTCCAGGTGTGACAGAAATGACAGTCCGCTAGGAACCGTAGTCCGTTCCCCAATACTTTGTACAGGTGACATTCGTCTCATATGCTGACCCTAATACCTCAACTAACCCTAACTTGTACTAATTATATGGGAGCCCGGACTTCCATTCCTAGAACTACCATTCCTGTCACAGGAAAATTACTTTCACCAAATGTGACTACCTCTCTTTTTTATGTACAGTTTGAAGAAACAAAACCTTTTTTTGTTTTTGGAATAGCTTTACGTGAATTATCAAAGTCCTCCTAACCTTTTTGGTCATATCTAAAAACTCGCTAATCAGGTAAAGTTTCCGGTGACAGACAGAACATTTCATGTCTTCATTAATTCAAACACGTCATGGCGCAAATGAAGATGTAATTGGACTCTGGTTTCCGAGCGAAAATCTATATCACTAATTTTCCGCACAGGGGAACTGTGAATTTGCACAATCATTTGTTATTTTGAAATGCTAAACGAGTTTAATGCCCTTGGGGAAGAAAAGGGAAGAAATGCGTTCTCGTGATTTGATAGTTCCAGGGTTATTGGGTGTAATGATTGAGCAGTCATTCAAGCTGTGATGATTCTTTCGGTGGTGATTATAACAGAAGTAGGCTACTTTTGTTCTTTCTTTGTGGTTTGCATTAGAATCCAAAACAAAAGCGCGTTTATTATGACCTAAAGTTCTGTATGACCAGAATGCAACCAAATGGTTGTCATAGGCTGGTGGTCACAAAGCCGGTATGACAGGAATAGTAGGCCGCTAGGGACCGCTGTCAGTCCCCTATTCTTTGTACAACCCACATACATATATCAACCCCATTACTCCGACAAATCCTAACCTGTGCAAATCATATGGGGCCCCCGACTTCCATTCCTGGGACTACGATTCCTGTCACACCAAAACTAAACCAAGCAGTTGTTATATTAATGTTGTCTGGGAGAAAAATAAACACGAGCAACGCTTGCTGCCTACGACTTTGATTGTGTTAGTTGCGCAGACACTTATTGCATCTCAACTCCCGTATTTCTGATGCAAAACTATTTTAAAAAACAGTCAGCACTGCGCTAGACATTTGACCAGGGTAGAATACTTCAAGTTCCAAAAAAATGTAAATATCCCATATCAACTAAACTAATTATTAATTTTCAAATTTATCGAAACATTGCTTCTTTGTAAAAAAAATATGTTATCTCGTTTTTTGTGTGTTATAATGTTAAATGTACTATAGTGTATAACTGGCATTCATGTAAGCCATTCTTTCCTATTTTTCTTTCCTTTAAAATTTTTTCTTTCCTTTATTATTATTATTATTATTATTATTATTATTATTATTATTTGGAGGTGGGTGCGGGTAGCTAAATATTATTCTTACATGCAGTTTGCAGTCAAGGGCCTATAGGGCCTACTAGAACGTGGCCTTTCCGACTTGTCTGCCGAATTTAAGTTTGCGATCTTTGTAAACAAGACCAGTATGTAGTGCACTGGAGAAAACCACAACTCTTTGTCGGTAATTCGGTTGTAGTTTATTAAAAGTCCATGACTCAAGGTACATAGCGGTAAAAGCTCGTGTGTGTTTGTTGGTACATATTTAGCCCATGACATATGTTCCCTGCTTGACGTAATTCACTCTGCATTGGCATATATCTCGAACTGCATCACACACGTATTTTTTTCAATTTTACATATAAATTTATGAACCTACAGATATTACATTTGCTGTAATTGCTCACGGTGATCCGAATTTTACAGACGGTATATTGATTTCAAGACTTAAAAAACCCTTTAAATAAATGACACGATTAGAGTGTATTTTTGTTAACTTATGATGTCAGTTCAATGGAACGAAAAACAACCAAATAATCTTAGACTAACATAAAAAGACAGTTTCATGTGCTGTGTATATACAGCCCACTACTTATACTACCGACCGATTTACGGGAAAATATACCGAAAAAAAAACTTCAAAATCTGTCTCACTGGATAGATGCCTAACATAAAGCATACAATGTTTAATATAACGTATGGAAGCCTATCTTGTGTGTGGAATGTTTAGAAGACACTGAAACACTTGGACCTGCTTTAAATTACTACGTGTTCGTATTAGATAAGTGAGTTTAATTAGTTCTAACTGCTCTCAGAATTAAAGCGGCGTCACTTATAATTTAAGCAGCGACACTTGAAACCAACGAGGATCTTTTTGCCCACAGAAAAATTACATGTAAGTGTCATTTCCACACAAAATTCTATTGTACGATGCAAGTGTCATATGATGCCGTATTCTTGACAAAAACACTCGTGACGTAGACTTAGTGATATGACGTCAAGCAACCAGAAAACCAGGAACAGTGTTGAGTAACCATCTATTTATGACGTCATGAAAGCAAGCATGTTCTGTAATCTCCAAAATGTTGACACTCGGAATGTATGTTCAGTTACTGCTTCAGGATATTTTCTCACATAATACTGCATGCGTGGGTTGGTATCTAATAAAGCATAAACAAGTTCTAGCCGACATCATCAATTAACGTTCTCGTATGCCGCATTGACATTCCCGCCCTTAAAGATAAAAAAGAAATTGAAAGTAAGTTTTGTTTTATGGGATTATGCAGTGCTCCAACATATTAAAAATAATTAAACACAGGCATGGCATAAGGGACACGTGCACGAATGGTTACACTTATATTGTATTTACATTTATACAAGTTGCTTAAAACTTAAGAAAAAATGTCACAACAAATTGTACTTACATAAATCTTTAAGCTTTGTCTTTATAATAACTTATCCTTTATATTTAATATAATCATTGATATTTTAAAACAGAACACAGAGATCAATTTACTCTGACGTTAGTTCTGACGTCAAACAAGATTCCATAGGCCGTGACGTCACGTCCATGTGTACTGTGTCTGAACATACGGACACACATAAAATCAACAAGACCATCACTGAGAATAAAATCGGAGTCCAAGTGACTCCAAGCTTGAGTCCAGCAGTGGTGTCTAAAATAACTCCCAATTGGAGTCAAGTTGACTCCGATGGAGAAATGCCATCCCAGACCCCACAAGAAGGTCACAATACTATTGACTCCATTCACACATCCCTTGATTCATCTCTACAAGAGTCACCATGACCCCATATTGAGGAAATTTTGACTCCTTGGCACATCATGAACAAAACAACAACAACAGTGCCAAGGGGAGAGACAGCAAGTATCGTTCATTCCAGACTGTTGTGTTCTCAGACGAGCTCGAACCCACGTCCTCCCGCTCCACAGAGGGACACCCTTACCACTAGGCTTTACGATCACATGCAGTGTTGTAAGAGCAATAACAAACAGTTTGTAAATCTGGTAATAAACAGCATGACATATATATCTACCACAAATATACCAATGAGTGAGCATACAGCTAGGCCAATAAGACCGTTCACAGTAGGTCACGGTCAGTGCGACCGTGACTCCTGATAACCCCCGCGAGGATAATAACAGGGCAAATAGCGACAGTTTAAGCTGTTAAGTTATCAATCGTAACCATCTCGGACTCCCCGCTGTCTACATTGTGTCCCGTCAAGCAGCCTGTGCAATCATACGCCCCGCTAGTTCCAAGCATTGTTCTGGTGTAGAACGGCACGTGCCCTTTGTTAAGACATGGANCGGATCCATTTGAGAGTACAAAATTATAATACTTAACTTTCTGACAACTGGCCAATCACCAAATATTCATTTTTTTTCAACCAAAGCAATGCTTGTACCTCCTTTCTACGACCACAGTGATGCCAGTTTCTTGGTCGCACAAAGGACGCCGCCCCAGTGTAAAGGGGGTTTACGGACGATCCATTTACCCTTTTCATTTAATTCTTGCACCCTCAAAAGATTGTCGGTCCTAAGATCTACCGAGTGAGCCACAAATTCAGACAGTTCTTCTTTATTTAAACCACTCCAAGTCAGTTGTACTAATAAAGAAGCGTGCCGTAATATGTACAGTGCGATGATAGTTATGTCAGGGATCTTCCTGGGTCAAAACCTGGTTGGGCCATTTTGGCCCACTTGGTCAAAAAAAGTGGGCCATTTTTAAAAAATGTGTGCCGTGAATTATTTGGCGAAAATTCATTATATTTCAATATTTTTATATGATTAAAAACACTGAAAAAAATGCTTGATGCTATTACTCAGTTCTAAATAATTGTAGTGTGTGGAAAAATCTTCTAAATTAACAATTGTACTGTCCCTAAATTAATCATTGTACTGTGCTGAGTAATAGCACTGCATGGAAAAGGTTGACAATTCCCATTTTATTGTGAAAAAAAGCCATTGCTCTGAAAAGAATTTTTATTTTTCAAAATATTTGCATTCTTTTTTAACCTGAAAACAATGAAGAAATGATCTTAGCTGAGAGAAACCCGTCTTACATATATTTACATTTACATAAAAATCTAGCAAGCAACTACATAACATTACTAAAATTAGTTGGCATATCGATTAATGTACTTATTATTATTACGTATCTGTGACTATTACACTGCTGCAGGGCTTTACGCTTATATTTTTCAGGACACCTGTCCGCTCAGGCTTACTGCTGACAAGTTTCAACTGTCCCCCAGCTAATTTCCAATTGCACAGTCCCTCCACCCCCACCTCAAAAAAGTGCAATTTTTTTCAATATATAAGCTGGTTCCTTTAGGTGGATATAATGATGGGCAGTTTTAAATCCTGACTGTGCATCCATTGCGCAATTCCCGTATTGAAAACGATGTTGTCCCTCATTTAAAGACATGCAGCGTCGCTAAAGGTGCAAAATTACAAAAAAAAGTCTGTTGAAATTTAGTTAAAAGCACCCATCTAAAAAACAGACGAATATTTCTCCTTTTCACTTATCGATCCTCAACATGCGGCCCGACTGAACTGAGAAGCCATACTTGTTTACCCAGCTCATGTAGTTAGGTGTTCTCAGAGGTCCGTGCGCGGCCTGTTTTCCGTGTTTCGAGCATTACGTGTTTTTCATTGCGTACTTGTTTCAGTTTCGATAAATTTTTGTGAAACGGGTCACATGTCAGCCCTCGCAACATCGCTACGCGCACTTCGAGCGACATTATTATCTCGGGAGATCTTTATTTGAAAAAAAAGTTTCTGCTATTTGTACGCGCCAAAATGGCGCAGGTTAGAATTTTACTTGCGCCTTTGAGAAAAGGCTCGCGCATTTGGCGCAATCGCGCGGCCCAGGATTATCCCTGTTATGTAGTTACGTAACGGCCTAGGAGAGCTTAATTTGATAAAAAAAGACCTTTAGTTTAAAAATATGAACTTACTGAATATATAGACATCTGAGATATAACATTAGTTTCAGTTTAGTCTGCCCTTTACAGCACAACCGAGGACGCGGAATTTGGTCCGCCCTTTACAGCACAACCGAGGACGCGTGTGTATAGCCCGATTTCAGACAAAAAGTTGGACAGTATTTCTGATACACTCGTGGCGGGAATTTGGCCCGCGCTATACAGCATAACCGAGGACTGGCTCAGAATAGCGTCAAATTTCACCACCTAACTTGAAATGGGCCCCTTTATGCATTCCACTGCTTATGTCAACCGAGGACGTCCTCGGTTGGAGGTGTGTCCTCGGTTAGTGGGTTTCGGGCGGGTGTGTGTCCTCGGTTAGAATGCGTGCACAAGAGCACAGACACACACACACACACACACACACATACACACACACATTGTTTCGGTACTTACATACAACTTTGTACCTGGGGTAAGCCCCGTATACCCATGCCACTGCTATCAACTCAGTCAGTCCAAGAATGACCATTGGCCATCCATTGATGGCGCTGTCCACATAGTCCAGCAAATACAGCCCACCCTGAAGATGGAAGTTCATATGATGGATGGTATTTCCTTGATTTTCAATGTCAACTTAACAATGTCATTCATACATTTTATTGTCAGAGAGTGTTTTGTATTTCGGCTGTCAACATAAGTTTCTGTTACCAGATGGCGTCAAAAGAAATAAAATATCATCTGGATTATTATGCCCAATACTTTAGTCAACCTGCAGAAACCATAGAGGTAGAGGCAGAAACATAGAAAGTGGTCGTGCATTTAAATAATTGAGGGCAACGCAAGGAGGAACGGAGGACTAAGGATTCATGTCAGATTTGACGGTGCGTGTGTCCTTATTGCCAATTTGCAGCAAATTTGCTGCAATATGGCTGCAAATAAGCAACGATATTTTTTTTCTTGCAAACTCCTGCAAACTCTTTGCAGTATTGCTGCAATGTTGCTGCAAACTTTTCATTTTGTTAGGGGATAACATGCACTGGGGATTTTCAGGAGTGGGTACTGTCTGATTTGAGAGGAAGTGGTTAATCTTCATCATGAAATATCATTGATAACCTTTATGAGCGACCTTGACATCATAACGACCTTGACCGTCACTTACCTTGGTACACATAGGAAGGCCAAGTCCAAAGAGAACAACGCAAACAGCCAGATGAACCCAGACCTTGTGTTTACGTACTTTAGGAAATGCATCTAACAAACCAGTGAAAATCGTTTCCAACAGGGTGAACTGAAATGGAAAGGGGTAAAAATAAGGTTTGTAAAGCCAAATAAGATTAAATATATACATTAATTTACTGTATAGAAGTAGTGTAAATGAAGTGAACTAAATTCTGAGAAAGGACTGTTAAATATTTTCAATATGCATGAGTTAAAGATGACGATGAAATGGACATTTTATAATTTGGACGACCAAATCTTTTCATTCGACAAAGTTTATAAGGAACTCTTAACTTAAGGCTAAATATACTACAAGCATAAGACCATTCAAAACTACCTGACTGTCCAAGCCAAGTGTAATGAGCATGAAGAACAACAGAATGGACCACAGGGGCGAAACGGGAATGGTAGCCACTGCTGAAGGCCAAATGACGAACGCCAAACTCGGTCCTCCTTTTGCCACGTCACCAATGTCTACTCCTTGCAGCTCTGCCATGTAGCCCACGTAAGAAAACACCACGAAACCCGCAAAGAAGCTGGTCAGACAGTTGCCAAGGGATACGATGATGGCGTCCCTAAAAACAGTCGTTACTTAGTGGAGAACACAAGTTCTATAAATCCCGAGAAAAGTTTAGAAACCAATGGGGCTATAACCGCGGATATAAAGAAAACCTGTGGTTTAATTTCGTTTGTTTCGTTTCCAGGACAAAAGAAACAATGTGATTCTAAACCAAATTACCAAAGTTGTATGTTTAGTTCGTTAAGTTTACTGGAGAATTCTAATTCCGTCTGCTGTCTTACGAATAATGAAACTGAAGTTATCTAAATTGAATGACACTGAGAAATCAACTTACCTCAAACAGTTATTGTGGAACCTATTATAACTAGAGAGTGCGTGAAGTCCACCGAGAGACGCTGACAGGGAGAAAAATATCTGCGTAATGGCATCTAACCATACCTAAAACGAAAGACATGCCCATCTGTACATGTAGATGTCAGTTATATATAGATTGAGTTATTAATCGACTTGCCTCTTCAATTTGTACGGGAGTAATATTTCAATTTATACAATGAATTCAAACCAACCAACCAACCAACCAACCAACCAACCAACCAACAAACAAACAAACAATAAATAAATAAATAAATAAATAAATGCACTGGTAAAAAGAATGAAGGTTGTGTTCCCACTTACTTCAGGATCCTTTAGTTTACTGACGTCAGCCTTGGCGATGTACCATTCCACGCCGCTACGTGAGCCTGGCAGCAGAGTACCGCGAATCAACAGAATTAACAACACCACGTATGGGAATATGGCTGTGAAATAAACGACCTGCAAGAAAAAATAATATTTTATCCACATGTATATATTTAGGTTTTCCTTTTCCATTCTTAATTTATTTTATTTTTGATTTTCTTAAATTTTATTTCATTTTTGCTTCATAAAGGGTTGGTTAGGATTTTGTTTAGTCATAAACAAAAATCACAGAACCTTTACTAAATAGGTTGGAAAATTATGTAGTCTACAAAGGGTGAAATAATTTAAAATGATACGTAAAATGAATAAATAAATTATTAAAATGAAGCAGTTACCTTTCCTGATGATTTCACACTTCTGAACAGACAGACGAAGTCGATAATCCAGGCAAGAAGGAGACACAGACTGAGCTGCCAGCTGATACCGGTCAGGTCGCTGAATGTTTCCAAGCCCGACCCTAACTGAAGCACCGTGTTACTGAATAATGATAGCATAAAAAAACGAATTAAAAAAAAGCTTCAAGCTTTAAATCGGTACGTAGCATGGCATTATTAAAGATGTCATGAGTAAAATAAAAGAAAAGAGAAGGAAAAAACGACGTATGTCCATGAACAAATATGTTTATCTCGTATAATTAAATTTGTAGAATGGATGCGGAAAAACATGCCCTTTTCTAAATATTTATCAGATGCGACTCTCACACAGATTTGACTTAAATCTTACAAGAAATACTCCTCCGCGGCAGAAGACCGTGTAATGTTGTACTGTTTCAGCAAGGTGTCGTTATAGACCCCCAGCAGAGTACCGTTGGCGTTGTAACACGTGCCATTGGGGTTAGCTACTTCCTGGAGAGTTGTGTTACAGCCTGAGATGTCTGGAAGCTTGGTGAGACACGCTGGAATAGGAGAACACTTATATTTGGAATTCTCACGTCTTGGACATTTTGGAATAAGTATGTGTCAGTCCCAAAAACATTTACTTTTATAGCAATTTCAGAATAGCACAGTAAGGTTTTTGGGGAGAAAAGAATATCTCTTGCTTCATTTTGACAAGAATGTAATATTAAATGGCAGTTATTCAAACCTAACAGACGACAAATGCCTAGCAGACGACATTCGATCTCTTATTGTCAGTCGAGTGTAACTTTCAGTTAGCATATTCCTATTATTTATTCATTATTATTAATTTCAATGTCTAGCAGACGACACTCTCAGCCGACAGTTACTTACTATCAGACGACCAGTCTCCGCAGTCCTGCCAAGGTAGTTTACTGGTGAATGAAGCAAACAGGTAATACAGCGCCCAAGCCATCACGATGTTATAGTAGATTGCAATCAGTGACGAAGTCACCATCATACCTATCCCGATACCTGAAATCACGATCTCTCAATCAGATAAAATTACCTCAGTCCTACTTGATATGAATTAATCTGATGATTTGCATTCTCATCTAATAAATAAAAATGCGATGAAATAAAAAAATTCAAATTGGTTTGGTTGCAAGTTTTCTTTCATTTGCCTGTTGTACAACAGCGACATTAAATAGCTTTTAAAACGACTATGCCGTGGTGAAAAAGTTGTCAAAAATACATGTAACTTTCACTTTCACACACTGTAAGATGGCAAGAAAAGGCTTTGTGACGTCACAAAGGTCACATACCTTTAAACATGGGCGAGAATCTCCACACTGTTAGCGGTCCACTGCTGGAGAACTGCCCGAGGTACAATTCCAGCAAAAACATTGGCATCCCGATTAATAAGAGGCAAATTGCGTATGGAATCAGAAACACGGCTATGCATGGGAGGAAAAGCAAAATGTTCAGTAAGATTATGTGAACTTCCTTTAAGACAAAGAGACGGTTTTTAATNTTCACACTTCTGAACAGACAGACGAAGTCGATAATCCAGGCAAGAAGGAGACACAGACTGAGCTGCCAGCTGATACCGGTCAGGTCGCTGAATGAATCCAAGCCCGACCCTAACTGAAGCACCGTGTTACTAAATAATGATAGCATAAAAACAACGAATTAAAAAAAGCTTCAAGCTTTAAATCGGTAAGTAGCATGGCATTATTTAAGATGTCATGAGTAAAATAAAAGAAAAGAGAAGGAAAAAAACGACGTATGTCCATGAACAAATATGTTTATCTCGTAAAATTTAATTTGTAGAAAAGGATGCCGAAAAACATGCGCTTATCTAAATATTTTACATATTACGAAAAACCGGTAATTAGTTATAAATAAAATAGATTTTATTAAAATAAACAAATTGATCAGATGCGAACGAAACGACTCTCACACAGATTTGACTTAAATCTTACAAGAAATACTCCTCCGCGGCTGAAGATCGTGTAATATTGTACTGTTTCAGCAAGGTGTCGTTATAGACCCCCAGCAGAGTACCGTTGGCGTTGTAACACGTGCCATTGGGGTAAGGCACTTCCTGGAGAGTTGTGTTACAGCCTGAGATGTCTGGAAGCTTGGTGAGACACGCTGGAATAGGAGAACACTTATATTTGGAATTCTCACGTCTTGGATATTTTGGAATAAGTATGTGTCAGTCCCAAAAACATTTACTTTTATAGCAATTTCAGAATAGCACAGTAAGGTTTTTGGGGAGAAAAGAATATCTCTTGCTTCATTTTGACAAGAATGTAATATTAAATGGCAGTTATTCAAACCTAACAGACGACAAATGCCTAGCAGACGACATTCGATCTCTTATTGTCAGTCGAGTGTAACTTTCAGTTAGCATATTCCTATTATTTATTCATTATTATTAATTTCAATGTCTAGCAGACGACACTCTCAGCCGACAGTTACTTACTATCAGACGACCAGTCTCCGCAGTCCTGCCAAGGTAGTTTACTGGTGAAGGAAGCAAACAGGTAATACAGCGCCCAAGCCATCACGATGTTATAGTAGATTGCAATCAGTGACGAAGTCACCATCATACCTATCCCGATACCTGAAATCACGATCTCTCAATCAGATAAAATTACCTCAGTCCTACTTGATATGAATTAATCTGATGATTTGCATTCTCATCTAATAAATAAAAATGCGATGAAATAAAAAATTTCAAATTGGTTTGGTTGCAAGTTTTCTTTCATTTGCCTGTTGTACAACAGCGACATTAAATAGCTTTTAAAACGACTATGCCGTGGTGAAAAAGTTGTCAAAAATACATGTAACTTTCACTTTCACACACTGTAAGATGGCAAGAAAAGGCTTTGTGACGTCACAAAGGTCACATACCTTTAAACATGGGCGAGAATCTCCACACTGTTAGCGGTCCACTGCTGGAGAACTGCCCGAGGTACAATTCCAGCAAAAACATTGGCATCCCGATTAATAAGAGGCAAATTGCGTATGGAATCAGAAACACGGCTATGCATGGGAGGAAAAGCAAAATGTTCAGTAAGATTATGTGAACTTCCTTTAAGACAAAGAGACGGTTTTTAATATAGAATCCTAGCTTTCCACTGCAGGTTCATGTTGTCAAAAGTACTGATATATGCAAAGAATATATGGATAGATGGAAGAGAAGCTGCAAACTATAGGCCTACGATTTCTGGCCCATTGTTTTTGATTCTACAAAGATAAAAAAGTAAATGCAAAATTAATTTCACCTTTAACGAATCGTTTACATCAACATTTTCAGTTGTAATATACTAATGAGTTGAAAGTCACTGATTACAAGGAATGAGATAAAATCATTCACGATGGGTGAAGAATATCGTATTAATTTGGCCGTCGATAGGTGGCACTACTTACCGCCTCCGTTCTTAAAGCACAAGAAAGGGAAGCGCCACAGGTTGCCAAGGCCGACAGCGTAGCCAAGACAAGACAAAAAGAAGTCACACTGATTAGACCAATTCCCGCGCTTTTCGTTTTCGTCGCCATCTGTGCTCTCTGCAATAAAAATGAAAGTTGACTTAGATTTATTAACTTAGGTATGAAGTATCTTAACATACGTATTTACAGGTGAACCTATAACGTTGTCAAAGCAAACAATGCTCCCACGGGTTAAAAAAACCATCAAAACAAAATGTTTTACCCAATTAAACTCTAACCAACTTTGTTTGGTATCCTTTTCGTCGTTATGTTGTCATGAACTTTAATTCCTTTTAGTCAAAACAGGACCACATTAAAATGCATTTAAAGCTGTAGTTTTTCCCTACCTGTATCAAGATCGAAACTGTGAGATGACTGCAAAAAATAATTTGTTCATTAATGTACAATTAATTTTTTTTAAATTTAGTATTAAACTGTACTCAAAGTTTAATCAATAGTTTCATAATTTAAATTCTCAGTGACGTTTTCAGATAGTTCTTAAAACACTGAAAAATGCTGTAAAGTTGATAAAGTCCAATGATGATTCATATTTCTTAAGGTATAATTCAGAAAGAAAAATGGTGGCCCATTTAAAATAAGATAAGATAAAGATTTATTTAGCCAATGTGAATATAAATTATGCAGTATTGGAAAGAAATGTCCATGAAAACGCGTCGTTGTGTAAAAATACTTAGTAAGAAATAAATTATGTTCAAGAGTTTGCATTAAAACGGGATACAGCTGAATAATAGAAGCTACATAAAAATCGTTTGCTACCCTTAAAATCTAAAAGCCTAGAGTTGCTTGGTAAAAAAGGTTGTGAGCAGGATGGTTATAGCTTCTCATAATAGACACGGAATACATTTCTTGGCGAATTAAAAAAAAACGTACATTCATGTCTGGGTCGGCAGTCTCCCTCAACGGCGGGACGCTCACAGGTACAATCTTTAAAAAAAAGTAGAACACATTACATAACAATCTGTTCACGCCTGCCAACCGAAATCTCTGAATGACATAACGTGCACGTACAAACAAAGGACAAATAAACGTCTTGGTCAGACTCCATACCAAAGTGATTTAATTTTCTATTTATTGCGTTGTTTTTTTTATTTTTATATCTATAAATGATGATGTCAAATTTACAAAAAAAAAAAAAAAAA